TAATCTTCTTCTATATTCAAACCCGCTGCCTCCTGCTTCATTTATTTGTATTTCCCTGTATCCACCCCATTCTCCATTGTGTACACACTGTAATGCTGGCTCTGAGAGCTATGCAAGCCCAAAGCAGTGTTCACATATTCTCTCCCACTGTGTAGAAGGACCTCCCGTTCCATCTGTTCAAGGACTCTGGCAGATGGCCCAGGTGAGGTCAGAAAATTGTCACTGTGGGCGGTCAGAGGGAAGAAGACTGTGACCTTCAGATTGGCAGTCAATGTAACCAGGAGTCAATGCCCCAGTGATCAGTCTGTGGGGGAGTTGGTGCTTTTGCTGCTTAATCTCCCCCTGTGAAAGTTTAAATTTATCAGAGGTAAAGCCGAATCTGACTGTTTTGGAACAGATAACAAAGATCCAGAGAGGCAACAACTTTCCTTTGAGAAATGTACCTTATTAGAAGCATCAAATCATCAACCATATCCATCCAGATGGGGATTTAATGCAAACTGTCAATATTTAAGAGCTGGAGACCTGTGGGTTTTTCAGTTGAATTTCTTACTCTCCTGAACTGAACTCCCAATAAGACATTGCACTTCAATTTCTGTGATAATGAGGTGGAATTGACACCAGATTAGTAATCAAGAGGATCAGTTAATGAGCTGAGTTGCAGATTCCAATCTCACCACAGCTGGTTAATTTAAAATAAATTAATTCACAAAATTCAGAATTGAAAGCTACGTCAGTAATGGTGACCATGAAACTATCATCGATTATTATAAAAACCCATCTCGTTCATAAATGCCCCTAAGATCCAGAAATATCTTACCAAGTACTTAATGGGTCCAGCCAATATATGACTCCAGCCCTACAGTAACTCTTAACTGTCCTCTGAAATGAAATTGCAAATCACCCTGTTCATAGGCAGTTAGGGATGGGTACTCCCGTCCCAAAGAAAACTTGCATATGGTGTGTGGTGAGGAGCAGATGTTTAGCAGTATTTTTGTACCCAGTGATATGACCATAGATACAATGGTGTGTTGGTTGGATTTACATAAAGCTTCCTCTATCTAGACCACTGTAACATTTTGGTCCTGGCCCAGGACCTTAAGTGTGTAGCAGGCCATATATTAGTGTGGAATTTCTGCCTCTGTTTTATCTCAAGATTGGGTGTGTCTTTGGATAACTATCTTTATACCTCGGCATATTGATATGATCTCTGAGGTCATTTCATCTAAACAAAGGTTTTGCACTGTAGTTATTTAATGTTCCACGAGGTCATGCATTTGCTGAACTAAGGAAAGTTCTACTGACCCTAGAAGTAGAACTCAACTCTGTGTTGGGCGGATGATGTCTGCGAAATAGGATAGCGAACAGTCGACCACCATAGATCCCTTCTAAATTTAGTGTCCCTTGAATCAAGGCTGGAATATGCAATCATTTGCCTTCCCAACAAACTACTTGCTGTGACTCATTACAAGTCTAACATTCAAAATTCAGAAATTGACTTTTTTTTGAGGAACTAATTAGATTTCAATCAAACTAACTTTAAGTGCAGTTTGAAGCAGCATTTTCGTTCCTGAATTATGCTGTTCACAGATTTTTCTTTTCTCTCCCACGAGGATTTTGCGAATCTTTTACAAACCCCATCTCCCCCGCCCCCAACTCAGACTTCGGCTGTTGGGTTTACTTCTGTTTAACGATTGACATTTCGACAAGGAAGTAGGGTTAAAGCAAGAGATGGTGGCGTTTGATATTTATCAAGTGGTATCATTGGAAAGATCTAACTTTCAAATTAACCCTTGTGAAATGAAAAAGGGGGAGATGTTAAAACAAATGTCTACAGAGAAATACTGAGCAAAAGATTTAGTCCTAAATCCTTTTGGCTAGCAACAGTTATCTGTATTTTTTTTCCGGGCATTAAGCTAAATAAATACCTTTCACCAAACTGACAATGGTTTGTAGAGAGAAAAGAAAACAAAAGAACTGCGGATGCTGGAAATCAGAAACAAAACCAGAAATCGCTGGAAAATCTCGCCCCAAAATGTTAATTCTGCTCTCTCTCTAGAGGTGCTGCAATTTCCGTTTTTGTTTCTGTCAATGGGTTTATAATACTTTAAGACATTAAATTGATCATACATCTCGCCATGTCTCAATGTCTTGCATTTAACATTCAATGAATTATCTTGAGCTCAAGTGATTTTTTTTTGGAAGGATCCTATTAACCTCTGGTAAAGAGGTCCCTATGTGGCTCTTGTGTTCCTTTTTGTCTGGTTACGGAGCTTTGAAAGGGCTTTGGAAAATTTAGCGTTAAAAGGCCAATTTGTTGCTGTGATAGACAAATGCAGCAACCCATTTTCGTGTTGTCAAGATGTTGCAAACAATATTGGAATGAAAACTAGTAATCTAATTTTTTTTCCCCTCTAAGTTAGGACGTTGGTGATAACACAGGTTTTGTAAGATACATTCCCATGTCTTTCTTTGGTCAGGAACTGTCTGATGCAGTTTAGAGTCCCAGAAAGTGGTTGTTACGGTTTATTATAGTGAGGAAGTGGTCTTAGGTTTCTCACAAGTTCTTCCTGTTGCTTGCCAGAAAGTACCTCAAATCAGTGGGACACAGAATAACCACAGCACTCCAGGGGTGAGGATGAATGGAAAGTGGCAGTGCTTCTTTTGAACAGCTGATAGTGACTGTCAAAGTCTGATATCCATGACTGGTATTCCACATTCATGTACAACACAATGTGCCTCAGACCACTGGAATTATGAGAAACTTAACACTTTTATCATTAAGGTCACCTTTATTTAAGTGTGATTTTTCCACCTCAGCAAGATGGGACTATCCACCCACACTTCTTTCAGAATCTACAATCATTATATTCTTTATCTCACTTCTTTCACCTCCTAATTGTGTTAGATTTTTCACTTACACTCATTGGTTTAGGTGTTATTGCTTGATGCTTGATTAATGCAATCAATATATTAGTTTAATTATAGAGTAACTGGAGAACATGATAAAAAATCATAGATGTTTCAGAAGGAAGCCATTCAGCTGATTGTATCTGTATCGAAGTATTAATTTGTGTTTTTTCTACCTAAATTCGATGTCCTGATATTGTCTGTATCTGTTTAAATAGAAATAAGAGGAAGCCATTTGGTTTCTCTAACCCTATCTACCATTCAATGATATCATGGCTGATTTACATTCTCGCTCACTTTTACCTCACATCTATTAATACCTTTAGTTAACAAAAATATATTGATCCCAGTTTTGAAATTAACAATTGCCCTAGGATTAATTATGATTTTCAGAAGAGAGTTTTAAATTTTTAACAAATTTTGTGTGTCAAGATTTTTCAAATTTTACTGTTGGACATTCTGACTATTTTTAAAAAAGAAATCACTGGTGTTGGATTTTCTGACTAATGGAAGTATTTTCTCTCAACCTACCCTCTTAATATATTGAAAATTTGATTGAATCAAACTTAACTCTCAACCTTCTAAATTAGAGGGAAATGATCTCTTTATAGCTTAATGCTTGAAGTCCAGGTACCATTCTATTAAATCTACACTGTACTTCAACCAAGGCAAATTTACTTTTCCTAAAGTGAACTGAACACAGCATCCTCCCAATCCCCAAGTGTTGGCTGACTAGAGCTTTGTAAAGCTACCCCATTTCAATTCTAAGTGTTTACCTAGTTCCCTCTTAAGTTCCATTGCCAATAGTTTACTGGGCACCAAATAAAGTATTCTATTGTTTTGTAATTGTATTGCATGAATATATTTTTGAACTCCCCCTTCCAGTAATAATAATTGAAAATCCTTTGTTTTGGTGGATGTGATAAAACCAGCTACTGGAGAGGGAAGGGAAATGTCCACTTGTGGTGCTCCTGGCTTCATGAATTGCCAAATGCATTGGTCGATGAGGGCAATGTTTTCATTGACATTTTTCTTGCTTCTATCTGAGCATATATAGAATGAACTACCTGATGAAATGGTAGATGCAAGTAGAATTACAATATTTAAACGACATTTGGAAAGGTACATGAAAAGGAAAGGTTTAGAGGGATGTTGGCCAAATGCAGACTAATGGGACTAGTTTAATTTGGGAAAGCTGGTTGGCGTGGATGAATTGGACCCAAGAGTCTTTGTTCTATACTATATGACTCTGTGACTTTAATATAGGGTTGCTTGATGAGTGGGCTGATTTTTCATGCCTATCAATTTAGTGCATAATTTCACAGACCAGAAAACATTTGGACAATTGCTACATTTGATGGTTTGTATCCTAAGAAATAGCATGGAGGGGACTACAAAAAAGAGCAGTGCTGCTGGGGTAGAGAATGGAGGGTCAGGAGAAATGTTCTGTTCCTGGTATAAAAACAGAAATTGCTGGAAAATGCAGAAACAGAGCTGTTTTGAAGAAGGGTCACTGGACTCCAAACATTAACTCTGCTTTCTCTCCACAGATGCTGCCAGACCTGTTGAGTTTCTTCAACAATTTGTTTTTGTTTCAGATCTTCAGCATTCACAGTTCTTTGTTTTATGTTATTGTTCTGTTCCTGATGATCATGTAGCAGTGAATGCTGCATGTGTTGCAATTGTCTGATGAGCACAGATTGTATAACAGTTGTGTTGCCCTCCACAATTGGCTTTCTGGTGGTTTCTGAGATTTTGAATAGCCATCTGGCTGGTGGAATGCCGAAGGAGCGGTGTCTTTGGATCAACACACTGTTAAACCTTTAGTAGGGGAGAGAAAATCAGAAAAGCAGCATCTCCTTATTTTTCCACATGTTATAAATGTAAATTCCTTCCCCTTGTCCACATTATTTTGCTATATATTATTAGGAAGAGGGACCACCTGTGGCATTGCTTAACATGTCGGAGGATAAGATACAGTAGCTACTCCACCTGGTGGCTCTGCATTCTGTGTAACTTCGTTTGTCATCCTAGCCTGTTTATTTAAATGCTTTGAAAATTTAGAGGGTAGCACCTTTCATATCTCCAAGATGTTCCCAAATACTTTACTTCTAAGTATAGCCATCATTGCAGTGGAGGAAAATGACGCAAGCAATGCACGGCAGGATCCTACACATGACAATGACCTAATAATCAGGTAATGGTGCAAAAACAAATTGCTGGAGGAACTCAGGAGTCTGGCAGCATCTGTGGTGGCAGAAAGCAGAGTTAACATTGAGTCCAGTGACTCTTTTAAAGATCTATTGATGCTATCAGACCTGCTGAGTTTCTCCAGCAATTACTGTTTTAATTCAGATTTTCAGCATCTATGGTTCTTTCTTTTAAATCAGGTAATGTATATTGGTTGAGGGATGTAGTTGGTGGGGATACTGGGGAGTGCTCCTTTTCTTAAGTGTCACCTGAGATCTTTCTCAACCTCTGTGGGGACAGACAAGATCTTGATTTAATTTTTCAGCTGAAAAGTGGTAGCTCCAACAGTGCCACACAGGGAGTGTTGGTCTCCAGCTTAAGTCTCTGGAGTGGGGCACAAATCCACAATCTTCTAATTCCAAGACAAGAGTGCGCTACTCACTGAGCCACAGCTCAGTCTACAGTGTATATACACATTGCAACCACCAGCAGAACTCCGAGTGAATGTTAGGGTTAAAATCATACATTTTCGCCTGACTGTGAAATATGGCTTGTAGAACTGTGGAATGAGGTCAGAAGTCAATTATGTGTCTGTGATGTACCACCTCATTTCCTCAGATACAGTTTTATTTTTGTCCTCTTCCTTCTTTTTATTCCTCTTTCATAGTCACTGACAAACTTATAGGGTAATAGCATTTTCAAGGGTGGAGGATGTTGACTCCTCTATTGAACATCACAAAAATACTTTTATCTTAAAGTAAGGCTTTTATTACTTTGCAATATTTACAGAAAGATGTTGATTTCTTTGAGACTGTACTCAACGCTTACACTTCATGGCTGGATAGGAAATGCTTTTATCTCTCAAACCCACATTACAAAGTGGGGTTAGGGCAGGAGTTGGGATAACGTGAGTTTTATGTTTTTCAAAAACCAAATTGGACTATTTCGTACAAGGGAACAATTTCTGCTAGTATTTTGCCATTCAACTGAAATCTGTGTTATTTCCGCAAATGTGCAACGACAACCTGTATTAATATTGCACCTTCTAAAATAGTAAAAATATCCCAGAGAATTTTACAGTTGTGTCATCAGACAAAAATGGACAGAAACAAAGATGTTAGGAGAGCCAGCCAAAAGCTTTTCCAAAGTTGTATAAGAATGCAAGGGTCTGAAATAGTTAACACAGAAGAGTGCCTTAAGCACCATTCATTCTGCTGAAGTAGTATAGACTTATGGGTGGAACAGCTTAGGATCTCTAATTAGTGAGACCTAACATCTGGTAACATTGCTGTAACAAATGTATCATAGCAATGTAACCTGTAAATAATTGCTAATGTCCGATAAACCATATCTTGGTCAATTAAAAAGCCTCATTTAGTTAGACTAGTAGGTGGTTTTCCTCCATCACAGGACACCATGCAGTCCAGTTGATCCCTCCACCTGAACAGGAGCAGCAGCAAACTTACTACATGGTGAGCTACAATCTTGGTTTGTTGCACATACAGTAGCATGTTTTAGAGAGTGTCTTAAAGGAAGAGAGTGAACTTGAAACATTTACAAAGGAGTTTTCATTGCTTCAGACTGAAACCACTGACAGCATAGTCACGAGGTAGAATGAAAGAAATGGGGAATGAAAACATGTATGATGAAGTTATTCAGGGCGTTACTGCCTGACTTCCATGGACACTTGCATGATTAATTTACAATGTGCTATCTCTGTCTCACCCCAATTCAGGGGAACCAACACGAAAGCGATGAATGTGTGAGATTGTGTGATGCTGACATATGTGTGTTTCACACCTGCTGTGTAGTTTGTTACACTCTAGCTGTAAGCTATCAGTATAAACTTTAGCAGCATACTGGAACCTCCATGTGAACAGTTTCTCGGATTTCTAATAAATATTCTGAGAGTGGGGACTCACCACATTGCATGGGTGGCATAAGCATATTCAGTTTCTCATCGGGAGGAGCAAGGAGGCAATGACTCCTGTTACACTCAGAACAATGTTTTTTTCAGATCAAACAGTTTTGAGTTTGATCTCCAACCACCAAGAATAACTTTAAACTGCCATCCATTATTACGAGTGCAAAAAAAAGAGAAAGAGGTTACATTTCTAAAGCACATTTAAATCGTCAGGGCATCCAAAACCACTTTACAGCCAATGTAGTCATTGTTATAATGCAAGAAACATGACAGACTTTTTTTTTGTTCATTCTGGGGGGTCTGGTCTGAACGATGCTGACTGTTTATTGTAGCATGTACAAAATGTGACATCACAAGATAGGTTTTGACCAAGAATATTCCTCTGTCCATATTGAACCCATTCTTTCAGAGTGAGTCCCATTACACCATCCAGTTGATTCTTAAAGGGGCCTCTTAATGGCAGCTATTGAACACCTTGTGCATCAATATTTCTTGGTGCCTGTATTCCTTTTACTCAGGCTGCCTTGATATATTCCTCTAAAACATTCTCTCAGAGCTGTCTCATCTGTAACATTTCCAACTGTCCTCAAATATCCTGGAGACTTCAGGAATGAAAGATTATCAGGTCTGACTTTACTCAGCTGACTAAATTTGACATTAAATAGTTCCTGCTGCATTTCTAGGTCCACCATGGTGCAACCAGTTTGTATTCCCTTGCTTTATGAATTGATGATAGTAAGAACTGCAGATGCTGGAGTCAGAGATAACATAGTGTGGAGCTGGGGGAACACAGCAGGCCAGGCAGCATCAGAGAAGCAGGAAAGTTGACATTTCAGATCGCGACCTTTCTTCAGAAAAATTGGTGAATTGGTGTCCCTTTTTAAGTTTGCTTTCTTGCATCCCAGACTACATGAGTGCAAGGCAATGTTTTGCCTTTGTTACATAGAAACTTGTGAATTAGGACATGAAAAGCCACTCAATTCTTGAACCTGCTCTGCCTTAATCAATGCGATTGGGCCTAACTGATTACTTCAAGTTGCCACGTTACCACAATAACCTTTCACCCCCTTTGCTTTTCAAAAATCTAACTAGCTCTGACTTCAAATATTCAAGAACTGCTTGAGGAAGAGAATTGTAAAGACTCATGATCCTCTGTGACAATAAAAAGTTACCCCCCCCCCCCCACCCCACCTTCAGCATATCTTCCAACCTTTTCTCAGCTACAATCAGTTCTGAAGAAAGGTCTTTGGACCCAAAACATTAACTCTGCTTTCTCTCCATAGATGCTGCCATATCTGCTGAGTTTTTGCAGCAATTTCTGTTTTTGTTACTCTCCTACGTATCTTTATGTCATCAGCAAATTTAGCAACTTTACCTTCAGTCCTTTAATCCAATGCATTTATATAAATTGTAAAAAGTTGACGCCCAGCACTGATCCCTGTGACACACAACTCATCACATCTTGCCATCCAAAAATGACCCTTCTATGTCCACTCTTTGTTTTGAGTTAGCCAGCTGATCTTCTCTACACACCAATATGTTAACCACCACACCATGAGCTTTTATTTTCCACAATGACTTTTGTGGCACCCTTATGAAATGTCTTCTGGAATCTAAGTACAATACATCCACTGGTCCCCTTTTATCTACAGCACATGTTACTTCTTCAAAGAACTCCAAAAAATTGATTAAGCATGATTTTCCATTCAGAAAAACATGCTGACTCTGCCTGATTACCTCAAACTTCTCTAATTGTCCTGCTGTAATGTATTTAATAATATCTTCTAAAATTTTTTCTGTGATAGATTTTATCATTTTTGTTTTTTCTGTATTCCTGTATTTGAATAAAGGAGTTACATTCACTATTTTCCAATCTAATAGAACCTTTCCCCAAATCTAGGAAATTTTGGAAAATTAAAAGCGACACTACAACAACTTGCTCACTCGTCATTTCTTTTAAGACTCCAGGACGAAGTCCATCAGGACGCACTGACTCGTCAGACCCCACTTCCAATGATTTGATCAGTACCACTTCCCTGATTGTAATTTTCCTGAGTTCTTTCCACCTTTCCATTTCTGATTTGCAGCTATTTCTGAACCTTACTTGTATTCTCTCCAGTGAAGACAGATGCAAAATACCTGCTCATTCTCTATATTTTCTATTATTAATTCTTCCAACTCACTTTCTATGGGATCAATGCTTACTTTGTTAACTGTATTATAATTTCAATATCTATAGAACCTCATCCTGACTTTTTTTTACATTTCTGATGAGCATTCTCATGTGCTATAGGTTTTCCCTTTTTAATTTATTCTGTCCAATTGTTCATATGGTGTCTAATTTTAGCAATGTTGAGAATTAACTTAATTGCTACAAGCAAAAACTGATAAAAAAAATCATCAAATAACTCAAATTGTTTGTTTTTTACATTAATTTGTTTATTTTGTTATAATAATAGTTTTGGCTTATGTTCATATCTATAGGGAATCCTGGGAGTGTGTTAATATTTACAGACAGGTCCCAGAATGCATTAAGATTTATGAGGGGGTCTCTGGGAGGGTATTAGGGGATTCATAAGCATATTCATTTCAAGAGATCCTAGAAATCACACTTCCTTTTCTCATCCTTCTACCTGCTGTGTTGATGCAAGTGACTGGTGTGTTGTGTTCCTGCTACGTCTCTTTTCTGTTCCATTTTAGCATCAGAGACACCTATCTGGAATTCTGACCTGTTTGCTTGTTGTTTTTGAACAACTGAAGATGAAGCCTGTCTGTATATCATATTTACACTGAATTGTGCAGTGATAATTGTCAAAACAAAAGCCATTTGATTTTCTTGCTAAACACAACAAAAATAGTGAACACTATTTTTGCTGCAGTTCCACCAGCTATCTATCCTGTTCCCCCACCACCAGCCCTTCAACCTCACTCCCAGTTGCTTAAAAAGATGGTTTCCTGACCAGACTATCAAAGTCACTTGGGAGAATGCCATCCCTGCCAGAATTTTCCAACACATGCCAAGATGTTGGATGTTGGTGAGAAGGGCACCACTGTCAGATCTTTCCAGTATGCCCAGACTCTCT